CTATGTCCTGAGGCGGCGCTCAGCTTTTAAAACGTTTATCCATCTATTCAAAATACTCGTTCAAACTGAACAGAACCGAACCCACAGCCGGGTCTTAGCAGAACCTCGTACTTTTAAACAGAATAACGTCTTCCACAGCTCATCAGCTTTTAGTTACACGTAACAGACGTACAAATTCAGCTTTTATAAAGACTCAATGACACAATTTCAGCTTTTAAAACATTACTAGCCCAACGCTTAGAACATGCAGCGTAAAGTTGCAGAGCCGAGCTCCAAGCGCGCAGCCCAGCCGCTGCGTAAACATTCACAGCTCATCAGCTGTTACTTTTTCAACATGCCAACATTTAAATCAATCTTTACACGAATTAACAGTCATTCATGAACCGTTACGGGCCACCAGTTTGTAGTGAGTCACGTGGGTACGTGTCACTTGTTGTAGTATGACAATATATGTGGTATATATTTATGCATACTTTTCACGAGTTCTTCATTTTTCTGACTGTGTAATGCCGTGCATTGAATTTAAAGGAATGCGAACGAGAGACGTTATTATCTTTGACCCATCAAATGAATGGAGTCATTTATTTTCAGAATCAAAGTTTAACATCAAACATTTACATTAATTTGGCAAAATATGAAAATAATAACAGACAGTTTCACAAATAATGAACTTCAAATCACTCGGCGGTGATTTGAGGACTTTGCTTCAGATATTTCTAAAATATCTGTACTGATTTATGAGAGAGAGGTGAGTTTAAGATGAACTGGAGATTTTATCTTACAGAGGAATATGTGAGGGAATTTAATCTGTTTGACCAGAAATTGCACGCTCCCATCAGGTATCTCAGCTTGTCCCAGGTACACTTTAGTCGAAGAAGAAACCGTTACCTTGTTGACGATAGATCACCTCAGTAAGAACCTTCAGACTGATATCAGCGTCTCCGTTGAGAACAGCTAAAATCCTTGGAGAGTCGTGCGTGGTTAGTTCAAACAGAATCATAATCCCAAAGCGTCTCTGGATTCTCGGCAACTCTGACTCTTCATTGTCAGCAGCTCTCAGACTCTTTCAGATCTTCTCAGACTCTAACTCCAAAACTCTCCATAACTCTAGTTCTCTGAACTCCTTGAGAACTAACTGCACTCCATGGAATCTACTGCACTCTATGGAATCTACTGCACTCTACTAGAACCGGGAAGTTGTCACATTTTAAATGAGTTTACTTCCGAGTTTACTTCAGAGCTTTCTGATTCGTGGATGGACCAGAAAGAGGAGTGGTTTTGTGACGTAAGATGTTATCTAAGCCAAGGTCAGAGAATGAGATTGTTTTAACAACTGACAGAGAGATTATTGCAGGAGAGCAGACTTCGTGGAGTCAACTCTTGGTAATCTTCTGAAAAAGTTTAAACATGACATCTTTCTCGGTAAACATTTTAGTTGACCGAAAACCAACCTTTCACATACTTACGACTTGACTCATTTCAGACAGAAAATCAAGAAATGCATATTCAGGTGATTTCTTCTTTGAATGAGAAATAAAAATCATTACTTACTGTTTATGTAAAATAAAAATGAGTAGTTCTTTTCAACCTGTAAGCATTGAGTGAAACTAACACAATTTGATTATCAAAACATTTGTAAGACAGTAATGATTATAAAGAATTGTCTTTTCTGCTTGATTAATTCAAGAAAGAAAGTCATCAGATGGCTCAGACTTATTCAGATCAATGAAAATAACAGTCTCTGTCCATCTGGTAGATTTGAGGTCATCAGGGTCAGATGAGGGTCAGATCATCAGGTCATCTGGTTCACTACATCTTGTTAAAGAGCACATCTCTGTTGAATAAATTTGGTTGAATGCTGTTTTCTGTCTCCTGGCTGCTCATATACCTGTTATGACATTGTACAGAAACTCTGACTGTAGATATAGACAGTAATTACCTTTGGTTGTTTAGTGACTGTGCTTTTAGGTCTTTTTGGATGTCTTTGTCCTCTACAATTGACGAGGAGTTCTTTGTTTACCCCCACAGGAGCTCATGGAACAACTGCATTGGCTACAAATAGAACGAGAGAATCTCAAATCTAAGCTGGAGGCAGAAAAGCATGTGATGCGAGCACAACTCCGTGACCTAATGGAGAAGCATCAGGTAGAGGTCCAGCGAATGACCGAGCAGCATCGGGCACAGGTGGACCAACTTCAGCAGGACCTATTAGGACAGCTGGAAGAGCTCAGAAGAGCTTCATTAACAGCACCATCTGTCAACCAGCAGGCCACTGGAGGAGGAAACCTGCCCACAGATTCAGTCTCCGTCCAGATGATCTCTAAACTGGAAGGTGGTTGTTTCATTATGATCATTCAGTTTGTTTTAAAAGAGGTTCTCAATGCTAAAATGAGTAAAGGTTTAAATTATGAGAAAGCCAGGGGTGGAATTACATTAACTCGCATTATGCAATTAAGTATGAATGCTGTGTTTGTTGTACTTCTTTAAGTAATTATTCCAACCTATGCTGGTGAAGATTATTGGTCATCCAAGTTATGTTCAATCCAGAAAAGGTTAAAAAAAAAAAAAAAAAAAAAAAAAGCAGTAACAACTGGACTTCTATTCTGAAGCTGAAGACATTTCTCTTCCCATTCAGAAGGCTTGATCAATTCTAAAATGTCTGGAGTTTGTGGAGTTCCAAGCTTTATGAAGCTGCATGAGAGGCCTGGTTGTGTATCTATGTTCACCTGCAGATTAGACTCGGACTACTCGCCCTGCACATTGAAGGCTTGTTAGGCTCTTTGCCTGCCTGGCTTGCCTTGCCAAACCAGCTCTCTGTGAGCCAGTCCACTTGTTTTTTAAATCTTTTTTGGGGATTTACATTTACTTGAGTATGTTTTATTTGAAGTATTTTACTTAGTTACACTTGAAATCCCATCTGTTACTAAGTATAAAATGTTAATGTAAATAAGTGAAAATATATCAGGCGGAGGGGGAATAAAAAGCACACAGCCTGCAGTGACTCGACCTGTTCCTCACCAGTCAGTCGGTTCTTGATCCAGCTAGAAGTGATATAAATTAACTGAGACTGTACAAACTCCACCCACTCTGCGGGCCGCTTCATTTGCAGGACAGAAGTGAAACAGCAGACATGTTGTAATCTGGTAATTTGTTGACTGGCGGGCAGCTAATCCTCCACCGCGACTGTTCAGGTACAATGAAATAAACTCCTGGACATGTTTTAAGAGGCACTGGCTTCATTCTGCTGTTAGCTGCAGCTTCTAGTGAGCCTGCACAGCCTCACGTGGTGGTGAGTTCAAAACATCCTGGATCATTGTTTTGTATCTAAAACTAAATTTTCATAGTTGAATAAGAGGCTTTGTGAAAAGGAGTAATAAGTCAATAAGATCTGTCACAGCTAGTATAGCCTGACATGATCTTAATCAAACAACATCAAGTCTCAAACTCACATCTAAAAACTTGTCAGAAAATCAAGAAGTTTGCCTGATCTAATTAAAACATTTCTTCTTCTCCTCCTCCTCTTATTCTTCTTATTTTGGCTTTTCCCTCTTCAGGGGTTGCCACAGTGACTCATCCTCCTCCATCTCACTCTGCCCTCTGCATCCTCTCTCCTTACTCCAACTACCTCTATGTCCTCTCTAACTGCATCCATACAGGTGCTGGTCATAAAATTAGAATATCATGAAAAAGATGATTTATTTCAGTAATTCCATTCAAAAAGTGAAACTTGTATATTATATTCATTCATTACACAGAGACTGATTATATTTCAAATGTTTATTTCTTTTAATGTTGATGATTATAACTGACAACTGATGAAAACACCAAATTCAGTATCTCAGAAAATTATAATATTAAGACCAATAATAAAAAGGAATTTTAGAAATGTTGGCCATCTGAACATGAAAAGTATGAACATGTACAGCATCAATACTTAGTTGTTGCTCCTTTTGTCTGGATTACTGCAGCAATGCAGCGTGGATCAGTCTGTGTCACTCGGGTGTTTTGAGAGCCCAGGTTGCTCCGATAGTGGCCTTCAGCTCTTCTGAATTGTTGGGTCTGGCGTATCACACCTTCCTCTTCATAATACCCCATTGATTTTCTAGGGATTAAGGTCAGGCGAGTTTGCTGGCCAATTAAGAACAGGGATACCATGGTCCTTAAACCAGGTACTGGTAGCTTTGGCACTGTGTTCAGGTGCCAAGTCCTGTTGGAAAATGAAATCTGCATCTCCATTCAATTCAATTCAGTTTATTTATATAGCGCCAAATCACAACAAAGTTGTCTCAGGGCACTTTACAGAAACATTCACATACATAGAAAAGCCAATTAGTAAAGTTCTCTATCTAAGGAATCCAGCAGACAAGTTGAATCTTGGCTTCGTCGCAGTCTCCCATCCTGAGCAAGAACAGTGGCAACAGTGGAAAGAAAAAACTCCCTTTTAACAGGAAGAAACCACCAGCAGAACCAGGCTCAGGACAAGTGGCCATCTTCCTGTCTTGAGAGGACAGAAAGGAGAGACAAACAAACACAGAATGGTAGGTCCAGGTATAGGTCCAGGTGTACCTGAAAGACAAAAACACATGTTAAGGATAGAAAAAATAATAACAAATACAAAACAGGTGGAACAGAGTAAGTAAAGACAGTAGCAGAGTGAAAAGTGTGGTCAGTTTGTCCTCCAGCAGTCTAAGCCTATAGCAGCATAACTAAGGGACAGCTCTGGAAACCCAAGCCGACCCTAACTATAGTGTTGAAAGAATGTGCCGATCAGCTCTGCGAGGTGCTGGCAGACATCTTTAACACCTCACTTACCCTGGAGACAGTTCCCACCTGCCTGAAGACTGCCACCATCATCCCAGTCCCAAAAAGCTCTACAGTGACTGGTCTGAATGACTATCACCAGTGGCCCTCACCTCGATAGTCGCTAAATGCTTCGAAAAACTGGTCATGACTCACATCAAAACAACCATCAACATCAACGAGGACCCTCATCAGTATGCATACTGTGAGAACCGATCAACAGAGGACGCCATCTCCTCTGTGGTCCACACTGCGCTCAACCACCTGGAGCAGAAGTCAAGTCAAGTCAGATTTATTTATAGAGCACATTTAAAACAAACTGTTACCAAAGTGCTTAACAAAAATATCACATCATCAAATAAAAAGTAGCAAGATATATTTACAGCACATGGAATAAAAATATAAAACCAAAAACAATTAGAAACAATGAAATACTAAATCAGATCACGATGTGTCAAAAGTCAAAGAAATAATAACAAAAAGCATAAACTTGGTCAGAAACAATGAAATACTAAAACAGAAAAACTCTTACGTCCGTATGCTTTTTGTGGACTTCACATCTGCCTTCAACACCATGATCCCCAAACCCTGATGGACACACTATTCACACTAGGACTAAGCCCCTCCATTTGCAACTGGGTCCTAGACTTCTTAACAAACAGACCACAGTTATGCCCCTTTTCCACTGTCACGGCACAGGTCGAATATTTTCGGCTTGACGCGTGTTTGGGGTCTTTTCCATAGTTCTTGGGAACGGCTCACCTCCCAGAATTCTGGCCCGGCTTCTCAAGGGGTCCAAGCGAGCCGAGCCGTGACCTCAGAAACACTGTCGGTAACTGATTGTTCAGGGGGAGGAATCAGAATCAGAATGCCTTTATTGTCATTATACGCAGTACAATGAAATTAAAAGCCACTCCTTTTTCCAGTGCACGCCTTAAGAAAACACACATTAAATACACACTAAAAATGTAACGCAATATAGATATAATAATGAAAGTAAAAAATACAAGTATTACACAATTGTATTGCACATCATGTATATTAGTGAGGTAGTTAAGGTGACTGAGAGTATGAAATGGCAGTAGTATTGCACAGTAGAAGTCCAGGGGTTTGGGAAGATAGATTATTAAATCAGTGCATGTGTGAGTTCAGTGTGGTGATGGCTTTCGGGAAAAAACTGTTCTTGAATCTGTTTGTTCGTGTTCTGATGCACCTGTAGCGCTTCCCTGAAGGTAGCAAGTCAAACAGTTCAAAACTCGAGTGTGAACAGTCCATGATTATGTTTTCTGCTCTGTTGAGGCAGCGTGATGTGTAAATGTCCATCAGGGAGGGGAGAGGGCAGCCAATTATCTTTTGTGCTGTCTTGACTACTCTCTGAAGCCTCTCCCTGTCAGCCAGGGTGCAGCTGCCGTACCATACTGAGATGCAGTATGTCAGCAGGCTCTCGGTGGACGAGCGGTAGAAGGTCAGCAGCAATTTTGTGTTCAGGTTGTGCTTCTCAAGGACTCTTAAGAAGTGTAGTCTCTGCTGAGCCTTCTTGATGACCGCTGTGGTGTTCTCTTTCCAGTTTAGGTCAGCAGAGATATGGACACCAAGAAATCTGAAAGTGTGAACCCTCTCCACGCACTCGCCGTTGATGTAAAGGGGGGCTAGGTTGGTGCTGTGCTTCCTGAAATCAATAATTACCTCCTTGGTTCTTTTGATATTCAGAGCCAGATTTTTCTCTGAGCACCAGGTTGCTAGCTCCAGGACCTCCTGTCTGTAAAATGTCTCATCTCCCTTAGAGATTAGTCCGACCACTGTGGTGTCATCAGCGAACTTGAGGATGAGGTGGTTGTTGTGGGCCAGGCTGCAGTCATGGGTGTTGAGACAGTACAGCAGGGGGCTCAGCACACAGCCCTGTGGGGAGCCAGTGCTTGGCGTACGAGTGGAGGAGAGGTGGGGACCAAGTCTTACAGATTGGGGCCGATTGGTTAGGAAGTCTTTTATCCAGGCACATGTGAGTGGGGGGAGGCCGAGATTGTCCAATGTATTTATAAGAATGTCCGGAATGATTGTGTTAAAGGCCGAGCTGTAATCCACAAAGAGCATTCGAACGTAGCTGTGCTGTTGTTCCAGGTGGCTCAGCACGGTGTGGAGAGCTACTGCAATAGCATCCTCTGTGGACCTGTTGGTGCGATATGCAAACTGGTATGGGTCAAAGTTCGGAGGGAGATAGTCCTTGATGTGCTAGAGAACCAGTCTCTCGAAGCACTTCATGATTACCGGAGTGAGAGCCACCAGTCGGTAATCATTCAGGCTGGTGATGGTAGGTGTTTTCGGCACTGGGATGATGGTTGCAGATTTTAAGCAGGGAGGGATGACTGCCTGGGCCAGGGAGAGATTGAAAATTCTGGTGAAGGTGGGGGCAAGCTGGAGGGCACATGCTTTGAGCACCCTGCCAGGTACTCCATCTGGGCCAGTAGCTTTCCTGGGGTTCACTGATTGGAGGGAACGTCTAACATCATGCTCCCGTACAGTGAGTGGAGTGGT